TACGTAAGCTTTTTGCCCTCAAATTAACTAGATGTCGTTCCAGCGCGTCTTCCATCTAATGTCGATCAGAAGTACTCCGAATTTACCCCAAGCAGCATAGCATCTGGAGATTTTTATTTTGGTGCTGGTGAGCTAACGAAGACAACGATAGAAAAGGGAATGTATGTTTTATATCATTGAGTAATGAGAATTTATCTCAAGAACGGATTTATACCCTGACTAGGATCGTTGTTTCTCGCTGATTCTGATTTTGCTTCAATTTTGAAGCGTAAGCCACGCTATCGGTATTTTCACCGGCTTCTATAGGCATTTTCACTTTTTCAGCGAAAATCCACACTACAACGACTTCACAGGTTTGAAGGATGAGGCATTTGCGCTGAAACCAGACCTGACGAAATCGATGTTTATGTCGATGACAACGTCTGATGATGACGGTCAGTCTTTGCTCTTCTTTTTTGCATTTCTCCGTCAAATATCAGTGTAGTTTGGCTATTGCAGTACTATTACCCTTTGCTGGCCCAGTTTTGGATATCCGAGTCGGTAAAGAGTTTACCCCACGAATCTTTGACCAATACGAAAGCGCCTCGCGCTGAAGCCAATTTCGAATTCGGCGCCTGTACCGCGTACCCCAGCAAAGTACTAAGGCAGCGTTCAGACTTCGCGACGGCAGCGGTCGCGCGTTCGACGCGATCGATGCAGTCGAAAGCATGCGCATCGATCGCGCCGAACGCGCGACCGCTGCCGTCGCGAAGTCTGAACGCTGCCTAAGGCAGCTGGGGGAGGGGGCACACGACAGGGCCTCTCTGATAGCAGTGTCTCTTTTGTTAAGGCTTATCCTCAACAGAGGAAGGGGTTACTGCTTCAGAGGAAGGGTTGAGAAACAGAAAGGTTATGGCCAGAGCTGCGATTTGTTTCTGGTAGGGGCCTGCCCCTCAACTCGCCCCACGCCCTCGACTCTCTTAAAGCGCTTTCAGACTTCGCGATCGCGCGTGAATGTTGGATTTATAACCGACGAGACAGATTATCTGGTGATTTTGGATGTTTTGACAACAAGTGTCTGTGGTGCGAGCGCCAAGTGATCCCATCCCAAGCGGATGATATTCGTGTTCAGGGGGGCGAAACTCGTCGAGCGTCACTGTTTTTCAGCCAAAGGTAACCGGCAGAAAATCTTTAAAATGTGTTCATTTCCAAAGGTTGCGCAGGCAGGGTGGCTATCATTCAAGTATCCTATGTTTTTGAGAACATTTTGACCAAAGTGGTGGAGGTAATATATTCAAATAGTTTTTGAACTTGGTCTTAGCTCAGAAACTAGGACTGGATTGTTCATAGCCCTACTGGGACAGTGCATTAGTAGGATCATTCATCAGAAGCGGTATTTGCAGTATAAGTTTCAGGGCGGCGAGTTTCAGGGTGGCCGCAGAGAGTAGTGCAGTGAAAGTGGGCTCGCTCCCGCGCACGAGGTGTGTCGGAGAGGGATGGGGGCGCGGTTGATCCCGGTCCGCTAACTGGGTGCGGACTCTGCCCAGACCACTAGCTATTCTAACGCTGCGGGAACCGTAATCGTCGGTCGGAGATTCGTATGGCGGATACAACACTGACTTGTACATCGGCTGGCCACCGCAAGTCATTGTATAGGCCACATCGCATTCAATAAGCCACTACGATTCTGAATGGAAGTAGAATGCGTGCCGCATCCCACAAAGGGATTGATCAACGGCGAAGACTTTGTCCCTTTTTCATCCTTAAGTTTAGGACACTGGAAAGGAAATAGTTGGCGAATTTAGACTGGAATCAATGCAAGAAGTAGCTAGGCTGCTCCATTACCATGCTGATCAGGTGCTTGAGTCCTCCTTTTGGTTTCTTATCCTCAGCCATCGGAGCAGCTTCAACGCCCGAGTAAAATAGAATATAAGGAAATTAATATTAATATAATAATAATGAGGCGGAGATGGTGTTAAGTTGACAAGTGGGGCTCAGCCATTCGCGCGTCACCGGTTCGAATCGCCGGGTCGACTGCGCCCAGGCAACAAGCTTATACTCCTCCGGGCGTGAATTGGTACCTAATTTCGTCTGGGAGGATAAAACACTGACTTGTACATCGGCTGGCCACCGCAAGTCATTGTATAAGCTCGCATTCAATAACCCACTACGATTCTGAATGGAAGTAGAATGCGTGCCGCATCCCACAAAGGGATTGATCAACGGCGAAGACTTTATCCTTTTATCCTTTAATAATAATAATAATAATATATATGAATAATATATAATATATTAATCAATAATAGTAAATAAGTAATAGATAAGGGGAAGATGCGGGTTTCTCACCTTTTTCATCCTGCCTTGCTCGCCCCTTGGTCATGCTTTTCCATATTGACTGATGAGATCTCCGCCCATTTTTCTTTTCATGGCCAGCTTACTCGGGTGCTGAGGCTGCACCGATATTTCAAGTCGTCCTTCAACTTGTGGTGTTTAAATATCGTGTTTTAGGGTGATATGCAAACATGTGCAACCCTTGCACTCGTCTGTGGACGACGCCTGTCGGATGTTGTAGATGACTTTACGGTGGAGTCGTGGAAAGATAGCTACATAGGTAGGTATTCAATAGATTCGTGATGATATTGCTGGGAAGCGGAGTTTCCATGAGAGAAAATAAGATTAATAAAAAACAGTAAGACTAATGAAGTGAGACAAAATAAATAAAAAAATAGGTAGTAATTTTTTCTGGAGTAGAGAAAGTCAACAGGATTGCATTACTGTTTGGTAGCCACTTGTTACTGCGCAGTGTGAATAAGCAGTAGGTATGGGATATAAAAGGGCTCTGTAAAACCGTTGTTTTGTGTAGCACCTGCAATAACAGTGCTTTCAGGCATGTTGGATCAGCTGGAACTTCATACAGCAATAGCAGCTGTGAAGAAGTATTCTTGGATCAAAAGAGTTAACCAGCGGTCCTTAGAGGTATGCGAGTTTCACTGCTCTTTTGATAAAAAGCAAATTCAGGGTGCAGTTAAAGCCTGTGGGCCATCTTGTGCGAATGATTTCCGCCTCAAAGCGGCTGTTGTCCGTGATGTTCCTTTAGTGTCACTTTGGGCAATCCTTAATTGGGAGGGCAGAGGTAATTGGCCTGGGAAAAACTTTTCGAGTGTTGGCTTTTCGCGTTACAGGAGCGTTGTATACCCTCATAGTCGGCAGCGCCGCAAACTAGTATTACTGACGGGGAACTTCGTAATCATCAGTTAGGAGGTCGTATTTGGTCGCTAGAAAGCGGAGGGAGCCCTATTTGCTTCACCTGCTCTACGAC